CAGTGGAGAAGTCTTTATTATGTAAAGTGGGCTAGCCTGGCCTTCTCAATGGCCTATTGACAAAGTGTGGATGGGCAGGCAACTATTCTGTCTTTTAAAGCATGTTTCTTTCTTTTCACATCCAGAGAAAGATTCTGCCTTTTTCAATATTTCCTAGGATATTTCATTTTTTTCTGGGAGAGGGCTGGCTGATAACTTCCCACAACTCTAATGCAGTAGATATGGCTCTGCAAGTCCTTTTGTGTCCGATCTCGTGATTTATTTTCCTTTTCGCACCATCCCATTTTGCAGGATGGGAAAGGGGGGGGGGGGGGATTGGCACGAGATGGGCGGTGGTGGAAGGAGGGAGCTGCTTTCTCACCGTCTCGCCTTCCCGGAGCTCCAAGGGAGGCTGGCAAAGGGATCCTCCCTGCACCTGACCGTCCTCCGCGCCCCAGAGGATCGGGAGCGGCTGGGAACCCCGTTCCGAGGGAAGGGAAGGATCCGCCGCTGCCTGGAGTGGCCCGAACGTCCCGCGCGGAGGGTCCGGGTCGGGCCAGCCCAGAAAGCGAGGCAGGAGCCGCCTGACTTCGGTCCTGACCGCCCCCGGCTGAGTGGGAAGGGGAGAAGGAGGGCTCCGTCCGCGGCTCTCCGGGCGCGCCTGGCTTCTCGCCTCTCCTGGGCAGCGTCGGTGCCCGGGAAGTTCACCGCGGCTTAGTTCAGCTCCACCGCCCAGTTTTGGACGCCTCGGGGTGGTAAGGAGAAGGCGACGTTGTCCCGCCGCTCAGCCCGTCTGGCTTCCTCCCTGCTATTCCGCTCCTTTCCCTCGGAGCCCTTGGCAACTTTCCCCGGCGCAGAGACCGAGGATGCCCGCCGTCCTGGCATTCCTGGCAATGGGCGGCTGCTTCCTGGCTCTGGCAGAGGTAAGGGAGCCCCCCAGGAGCCCCCAAGGCTGAAGAGGGTCTGGGGAGGGGAGGGTGGAGAGGGAGAGCTGCTGGGAAGAGGGCGGGGGGGGGTTTTCCCCAAAGACCCCCCCCCGCAGCCCGTGGGGGAATGGGTCGCGCAAGGCTGGCGCTGATCAGGGGCGATCGCGGGGGTCCTTCCTTTGGAAAGGGAGCCCTTGTGGCTCTGAATCCTGGAGAGGAGCAATTGCCCCCCCCCATCCTACCAGCTCCCCAGAGAAAGAAAACATCTTGCTAAACTCCCCCCCCCCTCCAAATCACTTCCCCAGGTCCTGTTTTATCTCCCAAAGGAAGGGGAAAAAACAGCAAGTGAAGCAGCATCTCCAGCAGGTCCGTTTTAAGACAATGAAGGCTGAGCCATTGATCCTGCTTATTGTTTTATTGAAGCCATTTATCTGAAGCAGTGTTTCTCAAGCTTGGCGACTTTTAAGTCCTGTGGACTTCAACTCCCAGAATCCCCCAGCCAGCGAGAGCTGGCTGGGGGATTCTGGGAGTTGAAGTCTACAGGACTTCAAGTCGCCAAGGTTGAGAAACACTGATCTGAAGCCAAGGTTGAGAAACACTGGTTCTCAACCAAGGTTGAGAAACACTGATCTGAAGACTTGAAGGAAAGTAAATTATAGGGAATCGATTTGAAACTGGGAGAATTCATGTGCCTTAACAGCCAGGAGGCCAGCGCACTATTGTTAAGTGCCTGTGTTTCTCTCCTTATAAAGGACAATTTTTGAATCTGGGTCAGGTAAAATCGATGCTGTTAGTTAACGGCACATGAATTCTCCCAGTTTCAGATCGATTCCTTATAATTTACTTTCCTTCAAGTCCGAGAACGGTTGAACTGTGATCTTGGGAGCTTCAGCTCCTTCTTAATCTTGTCTGATGGGGGTTTATCCCCATTTCCGTCGGGCTGAAAATTGCTCCTTTTCCTCACAGCCAAAAGCTGTTTCTTTCTTTCCACCCGAAGAGTAGCTCTGCTTCTTTGGAAGTGGAAGAGTCTCTCTTCTGTGTCAAAGGTTGCATTTCATTCTAACCGTAGGCTGTGGTTGATGGAGCCTCTTGGCGCAGTTTGCAGGGGATAGAAGCGATGGAAGCATCTTTAAAGAGAGCGGTGCAGAATGGGGGTCCGAGCAACCACAGAAGAGGCAGCGCATGTAGAATAGCCAAAAGCCATGGGGAGGATCGGAAATCAGCGGCCTGATCTTTAGCATGAAATGCAGTTTCCGTGTGGAACGTTACACAGGCTTGTCCGAAACATTGGGGGATGACACTTAAGTGTGGTAACATCATTGTCAAGGCAGCCTCCCTCAGCAACCAAGAAAGAAGCCACTTAACTCCATTTTTGCAAAATTAAGAGTACTTTTACTGGTTATGAAAAGGTAGCAGCTAAGCAAAGCAAGATCTCAGGCAAAAGCGCGTGAAATCATAGATATCAATATGTGAAAAAGAATAACTATTTTCTCACATTTTTTTCTCTATTGGAATTTTGCATTTATTGGTCTTGGTCTTGATCTTTCTAAAGTTTGCAATTTTTCTATCACTTATAGCTACCAAACAGCTAATGAGAGGGGGGGGGGAGCATTCTCCAGTTTGATTCCTCCCAATTTTAAAGCCACATAAAAGACTCAAGGAAGGAGAGGTGGGTGGGAGGGAGAGAAAGAGAAGGAGAGGAGGGAGGAAGAGAGAAAAAGAGNCTTTTCTAAAATTTTCAAATAAAAAAAAAATACTCCAATCAAATACAGGTAATCCTTGACTGAAATTGAGCCTGCACCTTATGGTCAGAAGTCACGATGGTTGTTAAGTGAAATTCCCAAATGACCACCTCATGT